GGCCGTGACATTGCAGGCGACGTGCCACCGTGCACGCTGGTTCGGCCGTGCCAGCGAAGAAGAGGTAGTCTTAGTGGACCCGCCGGGTGTGGGCGACGGCGAGCAAGATGCCACGAGGCTGGCACAATTGGTGCGGATGCTCCGCGACTTCGGCTACGTGAACCTCTTTGTCGTAGTCCTCAATGCAGAGCAGCCGCGCATTGGGAGCATCCTGGAGAATCTGCTCCGCCTCATGGAGGAGTGCTTCGGCAAGCCCTTCTGGCGGCACGTCGTCTTGGCCTTCACACGCTACTACACGGATCCTCGTTCTGCAAGGCGTCGCGGCAACAAGACACGGGACATGATGCGCGAGGAGCCTGTCAGTTGTGCTGGCTTGTGTGCATGTTCCGCTTCGCGTCTGGGGCCTTGAGCCGCGTTGCTTGTGTGCTTGACACTGCCAGGAGTTCAGCGCGCTGCTGGCGGCCCAGTTCCCCCACTCCCTCGAGGAGCGCCTCCCGCGCGGCGAGCCCTTCCCCAGCGGCTCGGATCGCTCGTTGATATGCAATGTGCACAGCGACAGCTTTGAGCAGAAGAATCTTGTCGCAGCTTTGCCGTTCAAGGCTACTTCGTGGACTCGGAGGCCGCGGTGAACCCCGAGCTGCCTGAAGCCGAGAGGACCCCCGGACGGGTTGAAAACCTCAAAGAAACACAACCGTGTGGCCCCTGAGCTGAAAAGCCGCTTACCATCTGCAGGACTACTGCGTTCCTGGTGCTGGAGCGGCTCTCTGTTCTTGCGCGATCCAGCGCGAAGCTGCCCACGTGCCCTTGCTTGCGCATGAAGTCCGACTTCAGGGTTAAGGGCCTGTGCTCCGAGTGTCTCTGTGTTCCACCGCTTGCCTCATGCTGCCAACACGTTTCCGCACCAAGATGGTCTCGGGGTATGGGGCGCAGATCTGTCCGTTGGTGTTGCATTCACGGTGTGGGACTGCTGCTCCGCTGCTCCATGTTGCGCAGGCACTCTGGCACTGATGGCAGCGCACGCCCCAGCAGCTTGCGAAGCTCGTCCCCAGCACGGGACCCGCCGCTCACAGCACATGCCTTCTTTCTAAGCCAGGCAGGCTTGTGACATACACTTCTCCCAAGCTTTCCCAGATCAATGCTGCAAAGGGTTTGGCAAAGGGTTGTCGAGATGTAGCCCGAAAATCGAACATCAATGCTGCTCTGCCCCGCTTTGCAAGGGCACGTCGTCCTCCAACCGTGGAGCTGCAATGTGGGTTGTTGTAGACACGGGAACCAGCTGCTGCGAGCTTCTGGACCCTGCATCGCACTGTAAAGCAGCGGGTGCTAGTGAGGAGCCAGACTCTGCGTCCGAGATGGATATCCCCGACGACACCTCCACCCAGCCTCTGTGCGGTCAAAGTCTGTGATGCTTATGCAGTTGTGATGATGATGGTACTGATGTTTGCTATGGGTGCTTGCAGCTGAGTCATCCATGCTTGTTGTACATGATTTATTTACGGTAAACCGGTAAATATGATGATTGTGATTAGTTCAGTGGTTCGGCAATGATATAAATTTAGTCATTCACGCTGTGCTGTTTTGACTATCCCCACCATCAGTACAATATCATGATCCCATGTATTGCAACTGGTACTGACATATATTACTATTTGCAATGAGTTGGCTAGTCCATGAAAGCACCTTACGAGGAGTGAGGCATTTCGCTGTGCCATGGTAGCCGGAAACATTTTTCCGTGAACGTCCCTCTTGTGGAGCCGGGTGCAGTTCTAGCATTCCCTATGCTCTGGTGTTCAATCCCTATAGGTGTTCGTTTGTAAGTTGTACAGCTACATGTAAACATAGCATCTTTGGATTCGCGTTTTCGGAGACACACAGGAGCGAAAGTAAACAACTCGGTCAGGTAGCTTTAGGAGCGTGCTCCAGTTTTTCTAGAAGTCATTGCATGCGGAAGCGGTCTGAAGTATGTGAACCCTAAGCTCCAAACCTTAACCGCAGATTCATGGCCATTTGCGGGTTGGTGTCGAGAGTGTCCTCGTGTGTTCGAGCTGTCGTTCCAAATTCCTGAGCCGGAAGCCAGAGGGAGAGGAAAAACGGCTGCAGCGGGAGTCTGGCTTCGGGGGAGCGACTTTCGACGGGAGCTGCAGAGTGGTTCGGGTTTGTGTGATCCTGGACTCTTCGTCAAGGTAGAGTGGCGGCAATACCTGAAGCGCCCAACTGAAGCCTTAGTTGCACATGACAAGGGAGGAAGCGTCTAAGCCCAGGCCCTCCGTTGGCTCCTGGGTCGTCGTCCACAGCCTCGTTGAAACGCCCTCTCTGAAGGGTGCTTGGCCAAGCATTGGGCATCGTACTGGTGTGTTGCCAATCTCTCGAATGGCAAATGTGGTGTAACACACTTGTGTGTGTAGGTACAAGCGTTAGCGGTCGACCGGCGCAGCTATCGCCGGTTCGACCGTTTTGAGTTCTCCCCCTCGCTTCCTTTCGCCTCTCGACTGCCGTCATGGCTTTCTCCGGCGCTTCGGCTTCGTCTGGTGAGGCTTCCGCATGGGCCGACTTCATGGCCGCGGCGGGCCTCGACGTGGTTGGTCCGACTCCGTCCCCGACGTCGCCGATTACATCTGCGCCTGGATTGGTGGAAGGAAAACGGCTGGGCAACCCACGTCGGGTTTGCCGGCCGGGGAGAACGCCGGACAGCCCACATCGGGTCAGCCGGCAGAGGAGATCGCTGGGCCCACCTTGAGTATCCCGGCTTTGGGAGCTTGTGCCTGGTGATGAGGACGTCGCTCCGCCTGTGTGATGGGCGTTCCTCCTTCCAGCGACGGAGCTGTTGCCTCACACCGCCGGGCGCCGCTGCTGGGGGCGCCTCCGGCGGCCAACCTCATCCACGGCTTTGACCTCGCCGACGTCGGGGTCCAGACGGAGAACGCCGTGTTCATTGCGTGGTTCCTCGCCGAGTCCTCCAAGGAGGTTATCAAGGCCGCCCTGCGGGCTCACGATCGCGGGCGCCTTGATGCGGCTTACGCCGAGGCACTGGGTGAGCCTGTGGTTGATGTGGCCCCTGCGTCGGGCTTTGCTTTCGCCTGTCCGGTGCCTCCCGACCTGGGGCTGGTGGCATCATCGTCATCGGCGCCTCCGCCCTCGTCTGGGCCACCGCCCTCGCCTGAGCAGCAGAGCGCCGACGGCAGCGTCGTGGACGGAGGCCCTTCGCCCGCTGGCGCACGCCAGTTTTGGCAGGAGCAGCGGCTTGCGAGTTGGCGGTCCCCGAGGATGAGGATGAGACGGAGCCGTGCCCGTCGCATGCGGATGCGGCATTTGGTCCGCTTTGCGGTGGCCGGGCTGCTTGCCTTTGCCAGCCCGCTTTTCCCTCGCCAGGAAGGCGGCACCAGGGCCAAGGACGAGTCTTTGGCATGCGGTGCTGGACGCGGCCCTCGAAGGCGATCCTGTTCCACGTCCGGAGAGTGGAAAACTTGGCTGACGCAAGGACGCTGGGGCCGGTGGTGCTCTCCACGTAACAGGACAAGGCGGTGATCGACGGGCTTGCGCCTGGATCCTCACGTTGACGCGTTGTTAAGGCCCGTGCCAGGAACGTCAACATGGAGAATTTGGTCGGACCTGCACGGCGACGACCTTGGCTATGGATGCGCCCACACAAGGCGGGACTTCGACACTACTGGGTCCCCCCTGAGAAGGGCGGGAAGGGGGGGAAGGGGTGGAGGGCCAAGGCCACGGTCATGACCGAGGCCGTGCCGTCAGTCCCCGGCCGGGACTGTTTCGCGGCGACATCTCCACGCCTGGGAGGGCTGGGACCACGTCGTCTTTGACATGACCTTCAGAACGCTTACCGCCAGTTGTGCTTTGGTGCCGTCCGGGCGGCAGACGCAGTCCAGATGTTGCTCCGGTCGCCTCGTCATGCTGCTGCATTTCGTCGACGACGTCGACCTCTCCGTCGGGCCCGAGGGGGTGGAGCTGGCCCCCCTCACAAGCGGAAGGCCAGCCCTTGACGACCACAGCTCGCGCCGACGCCGCGTCGCGCCTGGCCTTCGGTCGCGCTGGGCGCCTGGTTAACCAGGCACGACCTCGTGGTCGTTGGGCCGGAGCACCTCGCCCCCTTTGCCGCCAGGAAGGCGGGTGCCCTCGGAGTCCAACGTCTCCGACGCCATCTCTGGAGGCGACGACTCGCGCGCCAGGGCCGAGGCGTGGACCAGAGTAGCCACGCCAGTTGACGACATCATGGAGATCCTCGCCCGGGCCGCCTGCGATATTGACTTCGCCTGCCACGGGGCTCCTGAGCGCAATTCCGGACTTAGCTGTTTGGTAGGTGCCGACGCCGTGTGGGTGTGGGTGCGCCGGACGGGCGCT